AGACACAGCAGTCAAGACATGCATAAGCAGCATGGTTCCCTACTGCAACAAGAGGAAGTAACACTTCACTGCCAACTTCTCAGAGACACACCTGCCTCAGGTAGCCAAAGCTGGAAACAGAACTAGCCGTGGGTCCTAACCATGGGAGGAAACTCTCTTGGGAAGCCACCAGGCTTCAGAGGAAATATTTGAGTTGTTCCATTCATCCTCCCAGACGCACACTTTGCAACTGCCACTTCTCATCTTCAGTGAATCTCAACAGACAGACTTTATACAGACCACATGCCATATAGAAGTTAATTCTATATTTCCTCAAAAGAACTATAGGAAGACAAAATGTTTTGCAAAGTTCTGAGGCAAAAAAATTTAGCCCTACCTTTTTCAGCAGTATCTGCTGTCGAAATGTTAAGAGCACCGAGTGCAGCTTCCAAATCTTGCACTTGCTTTAATAACCGTTCCCCTTTGTCTGGCAGCAGCTGAATGTTCACTGTAGCCAATGTACTCTGCAAAACAGGAAAGAATCCAAAACCTGAGTGTGCTTACCAAGCTCTCTGCCAACAAACAGGTCAGAAGTTTAAAACCACTAAACTTATGGTACAGTAATTTGTATTTTGATATTGTTCTACAATCTCCAAAAGCATTTAAGTGCCATTTAGTGTGATTAAATAGTCTTCTAGCAGCAAATTAACTAGCCATTAGTGTACTTTAGAGGAGATGGCTCCCCCTTTTTATGGAACAGGATGAACAGGTAGTCCAGTGACTTGGACATTCTTGCCTCTCAAAGCACTCAACGTTCAATCTACTTTTAGTTGCACATTTCTTTCTATACTAGCAGGAACGACAGTTCTGTTTATTTCAAGGTTCTGTTCTGAGCTCTAGGCAAAGAGAGGTTTTTATAATAAAAACTATGTAACAGTTATTAGCAATTATTAAAAAAAAAAAACCTAGACAGGTAGTTTATTGCATCTTAATATGAACCTTCATGGCTAGATCACTCTTACTCCACAAGGCTAAGAGAGACCACCAGAAACAGCCATGTTATTTAAAAAGGTTAAGATGGCTGTGCAGCATTCCATCTTACACAAATTACTTTCTGGGTAAAAGAGAGACATCACCTCAGGCAAGTGAAAACTGAGCACCACCAAATGCAAAAAAGTGTATTACCTTAGGGGTGATAATCTCACATGTGCCTTAAAACTAGCCTGTGCCTAGGCTGAACTCCCTTCCCTTGCCCCATCTTCCTAAACTATCCAAATAATTTGAGTTTCTGTTGTGAGAGGATACCATATTCTGATGCCTGTCACGAATAAGCGAAGTCTCCCTGAACACAAAACTAAAAAAAGAAAAGGAATTACAGGTGCAATAAATGACCTTCTTCTGCTTCAGCTGGACCATGAGATGGTTGTGAAGAGCTTTCGGGTTCTGGGGTCCTTCCACATGATGCAATGCTGCAGCTCCTGGCAAAGACGTCCCCTGCACACTCCTTCCTGAAGGAATCTCTCTTGACTGCAAACCCTCAACTGATTTCTCAGGTTTACTTTTACCCGATGAGGAATAAACAAATCCTACTTCATCACTGTCACTGCCAGAGACTTCACCAGCAGGCTGTTCCAGCCCCGGCCTGATTTGTGTCTTGGGCAGCACTGCCTCTGCTCCTCCCTTCGACTGTGGTACTGCTGGGGAAATGGCATCTTCTTTAGACATCCGTTTCAGTCCTCCATTCTTCTCACCAGTGTATTCTTTCTCTCTGGTTCCTTTGTCCCCACAGCTTTTTAAGCTTTTCTCTCTGAGCTGCTCCTCTTCTGGAGGCTTGGTACTTGTACTTTGCTTTCCAAGACTTAGTGGAAAGAGCTTTGATCTCCCATCCAGCTCTTTCTCCACGCACTCAGAAGACTTCTTGGATTCCTTATCACCACTAACATATTTCTCTTCCTCCCAAAAGGTGTTTTTCCCTTTCCAAGTCTCAGAAAGGCTGAATTTAGATTCAGACACTATGCCCTCCTTAAGTTCTGGATCACTCCTCTTTCCTGTTGACTGCTTCTTTTTAGTTTTCAGCCCTTCTAGAGGTTCCTTCTCTATGGAGGAATGAGAGGTTGATTTCTTTTCTTTATGTGACACCAGCATGCTCTCTTTCTCTGCTTTTACTCCTTTTGCTTTACTTTCCTCTCCATTTCCCTGCTTGATTTGTTTCCAGGATGATGATTCACAATTCTTGTCTATCACTTTGAACGGATTCCTTTGGCTGCTGGGAGTGAGGAGAGGTGCTGTGTTGGGCTGGGATTCTATGGCTTTTGACACTTTGGTAGCTTTGGGATCCTGCAATATATGCAAATGTGTAAATGCTAACATGCAAATTAGTAAAGCCTGCTAATTATACATACAACCTGATCATCTCAAGCAAGACTTTGTTCTCTATGGACATCATCTTTCCTATAATTTTACCAGGATCAATATAATAATTTTACCAGGATCAATATAATAATTTTACCAGGATCAATATAATAATTTTACCAGGATCAATATAATAATTTTACCAGGATCAATATAATAATTTTACCAGGATCAATATAATAATTTTACCAGGATCAATATAATAATTTTACCAGGATCAATATAATAATTTTACCAGGATCAATATAATAATTTTACCAGGATCAATATAATAATTTTACCAGGATCAATATAATAATTTTACCAGGATCAATATAATAATTTTACCAGGATCAATATAATAATTTTACAAGGAAACCAAGCCAAACGCAAAACCAACCAGACAAACAAAAAACCACTTTTCTGCTTTCTTTGCCATTCCCATTTTTGGGGGGGATAAAGTCCCAATAGCATCATCCTCAAGAAAACAAAACAGTTAAAGATCAAGCCCAAGTTTCTTTTAAGACTGGAGAATAGTGATTACTTCAAAGAATTTAAGAGCAAGAGAAGTCTCATCTGGAGGACAGCAGACTGATACACTTTTCAGCTAGAAAATACAAACTCGTCCACTATGTAGTCTCAGAGGTGATCATAGTACACAGAATGAAGAATTATGCTGGACTAAACTTATACTGTAATACAAATAAAACATCCATACCTGCCACGGGACACTCCCACACCATTTCTTCCCATTCAGCTTACTTTTAAGGCATCGGTAAAACAATCTACCAAAGAATAAAACAAGATTTGAACTGCAGGAGCCAGTAAAGGAACTCCAAGCGTTCTTTAAAAAGTACTTTGCACCAAAAACATCACAGACAAGTTCTCTCAATCTGCATTTTACGTTCAGACTTCTGCATAGCAAAAGGCCATGAACACCGGCAACAAAGCTTTCTACAAAAGCATTGTTCTCTGGATGAGGAGTCCTAGGATTTTGGGTTGTATGGTTTTTAATTTTAGCAAAAATATAAGTAACTCCTCAGGCAAAAAGACTGTCTATGTTCAGAGCCTCAGAAGTGTCCTATGATTTCAAGGTGTAAGGAAACATCTATTCTTGCATTTACACTGCATAGGCCACCTCATCTTTAAAGCACTTCAGAAATAGAAATACTTAGGATGTGATCTTTTTTTTAAACTGGCAGCCACCAGAACTGCTACAGGAACTTTATCAGAATTAAAACTGGTGAATTCAATGCAACCATCATGGGTCTTAGATAAACCTAACCACAGAGCCATGTTTAACTCTGTTAAAACCAAACATTACCAGATCACTTTGGTTTATATTATCGAATGTAGTTACTAATAAAAATAGCAAACATTTTGAAACATGCTAAGTAAATGCCTCAAGGCAGGGTGAGCCTTTTCAATTCTAGAAGAAAACTGCAAGCCAGCTGCCATCAAACAATTCCAAATGTTCAAACCCGTACAGCAAGCTTTTGTTTCCATTTTGAGGAACTTACTGGTATTCATCTCTGTCCTGCTGCTGAACCAGGGTTTGCAGCTCCACCATGCACCCCTCGTGAATCAAGCAGTGAGAAGCAGGAATACTGAAAAGATGAAAGGGAAATAAAAGATTAAGAATAGAGACAAGACAAGCTGCCCAGGGAACAGCAACGGCAAAAACAATTACTCAGGACAAAAATACTTGAAAGAGTATTCTCAAAGAGTGCGTGACTAAGACAATAACAGCTTACAACTTCCGACGTAGCACTGAATTTCCCTCAAAATAGTGGCGTGTGTCCCCCCCGCCCGCCCCCCACCCTTACGGCGCCGGGAGGACGAAGCCGCAGGCCGCCGGGCCCTGCGCTCCGCACACGTAGAAGCTCTTCCCCTGATTGGGGCCATCGCGAACACCGGTCTTCAGGAGGCAGAGGGACCCTGCAGTGCGGACAAAAGGGGAGCCGGTCAGACCGGGGCCCGGGACGCCCCACACGCCCCCCCCGCCCCTCCGCCTCCCCTCACCGTGCTGGTCGCACGACACAGCCTCCATCACCGAGCGGCAACTGCCTCGCCCCCTCCTTAAATCAGCCAATCCTACCCGACGGCCTGCGGGCTGTCCAATCAGGACGGGCCATGGGGCGGTAGAGCCAATCGCCGCTGCTCCACGAATTCCCTGTTCCCCGCCCCCAAGCCCCGCGCAGGCTCTGTTTACGAACGCCGGGGGAAAGGGCGGGAAGAGAAAGGCGCGCCGCCATTGGCGGGCGCACGCCGAGGGGGCGTGGTCCCGGGGAGGTGGGGCGTGGCCTCCGCCGCAGGGGCTGCGTGATTTCCCCACGGCGCCGCGCCGCGCTCCTGCGTCCCGGCCCGTGGGCCCTTTGGGCTCGTACCCGCCCGAACGGCGGTGCGGTGGCGGCAGGGACGTGCGCTCGATGGGCGTCTGGCGGTCCTGCCTCCCGGTACAGCCGCGCCCCGACAGCCGGCCCGGCCTGCCGCCCCCGGCGCTGTGTGCCGCTGCCGCCAGGCCCGTCCGCCAACTTCTACAGACTTCTGAAAGTAAAGTATTTTAAAATAAATCTAAGCGGAAGTAACAATCGCGTAAACAAACAGCACGGACCAGTAGAAGCTGGAAATAGGGTTTTTTTTCTTTTGTATTTAAGATGGGGAATACAGTCTTACAAAACGTGTGCATTTCTTAATCGCTGCTTTTGTTGATGACAATTCAAATGAGATAATGACTCTGGTAGTAACAATTATGGAAAAGTTATAATGTGTGTACAAAAATATTAACAACATTTACACTAAATAACAGACGAGTGAAGTTAAATTGACAGCCAAATGCAGTCATGGTGTAAACTGATGGAACTCCACTTGACCTGCCTGAAGGCTGAATTTGGCTCAGTACCTGTGTAAAAATCATGCTTTTTACACAATACTAATAATTTTGTGCTTTCACGTATGCCTCGGAATTTTCCCTCCTAAATATACACCATTTTGGACCAGCACCAACTCCACCACAACGCATTCACACTCACATGTGCTTTTTTCACATCCAGCAACAGCTCTGCTCAGCTTGTTTTGAAGCAGGAATATGCAATAAAAGGGATGCAGACAAAACACTTCAAGCCTCCTGAAGGAGTGCTGAGTACTAAGAGCAACTGTGATTGTAATGATAACAATAGTAATGATGACCTCAGTGCAGGGCATTTCCTGGCAAATACTGGGATTTCTTTTTTTTTTTTTTTAGTCAGTGCCCACAGGTGCCAATTTATCTAGCACACTAGAAGCAAAAAATACAGGAGGACCTCACTATTATTAGTCATTTAATTCCTGTGTTATGCAAAGAGCCATCTTACCAGTGCTTGAGTGTTCTTGCTTTAACAGCCTGTTCTTAATCAGCAAACCATGTACTGAATTTTAAGCATGCAGTTACATCTTACAGGGGAATGTAATGGGATTCAGCCTAGTTCATAAAGTCAAACCTTGTCCAGAGATGGACATAAGCTTGTGCTGAACTGTATTTCTGAGTTGGGAACACAGACAAATAGAATGTCTAAATACAGTACTGGACTAAGGCTCTGCCTCAAAACCAGTTTGCTTCTGTGCCTCTGAATAAGTCACACACCGTGATAATTTAACAAGTGTACACCCAGTTCTTGCCCAGATGGAAACATCCTGCCCTCGGTTGCCAAACAATCTGTGGCAAAAACTCACACAAACCACTTCTGGGGAAAGGTAGAGGCATGGGGGAACAGACAGAGTAAACAATGCAACTCCTTGGTCCTCAAGTCCATGTGCTACTGACACCCACCCCCAAGAAATTATCCTATTATGTCTCCCTTTCTTTTAAATAAGCAGTAAGGCAGGGCTGTAACCCCCACAAAGGAAGGGGCCAACCCAGCAAGGCACAGAAAGGTTCCTCAAGCCACGCACGCTTGTACAATCTACCTCATCCCTCTTTCTGTAATAAACCCTTCCACCTTTGCAGCTTGTTCCATTGCCAGCAGCTTGACTGTTGCCAAGTTCCCCTTCTTTGGCAAGCAGGGCTGACCAACCCTCTCAGAAAGGCCTAACAAGGTCATGTCCGTACAGTGCTTAACAACATGCAAAGTGCAATATAAGTGCCAAATGTTCTTATTTTAGAGGTTAATGAATACTCCAAGAAATATATGTGCTGAGGTAACTATAGCTTAAATACTACATTCCCTCATGATTAAAGAAAAACAAAAACCATTTTACAGAACTTTTTACTCCAGAAAAGATGAATCCCTAGTATGAAGTGGTAATACCTTATTTATATTCTGTCAAGTTTACCACAGCCGTCGAGTGCCCTTTTAGTAAAAGCATAACCAGAGAAGTGAACTGAAGTTCTCAGAAAAACTAAGAACTGTGCATTGATCATTTCCTCAAATAGCATCTCTGTGATATTTCCAGCACAGGTCCGCTCCCACCTATTACATCTAGAGAAGCTGGTATCTCATAATGCAGAACCAATGCACAATCCAGTTTCAGATCTAGCACTCTGATGGATGAACAGCAAGGTTATCTGATATCTGACAGCAAGGATAAGAAGGACTATAATCTGCATAAGCTCTCTTAAAAGTTTATGTTTGGCCCTTAGTGAAGTCCATGCTCCTCATTTGGGAGTCTGTGACAGTACGCCTGTATGTAATATCCTATTCACAAGCTCCTGTCAGAGCACTCCAGCTATCAAGTATAAACTGATTATCCTGGTGGTCAGGAGAGGATCAATGCAATAATGAATTCAACACTGCACATACTTTTCCTTTTTCATTCCTGTATTGGCTTTGGCCAGTAACAGACCCAAGATCCAACAAATTAATGATCTGGCCGAGGAAACCAAACCCTGAATTCCTATGCACTGTGTGATGGCACAAAAGAGTCAATAGCACCCTAAACAGTAAACAAATACTGCTGTAAAATGCTGATGTAAGTACCAGAATTCGGCTAGTTTTCAAGTGTTGAAAAAGCACTGAAAACGTCCTAACAAGGTATCCTGGTTCTGTTGAAACACTAGCAGCTGTAGTAGATCCTGCTTAGTGGTTTCATTCTGTCTTCTCACTGCAGTGCTCCTGTCAAATATTCCCTTCCTCGATGCTCTGCAACTTAAGTCTTTGGCTAGCATGGGGCCTGATACCACGCCGTGTGTTCATGCTGCTTCCTGGCAGAGTCCGCCCAGGGAACAGAGCTCCTGGTAAAGCATCTTCCCCAAACAAACTGATTTTCACATCAGCTTCAATAGCTCTCGCTAAACTGGATGCATAACTGTCCAGAGATTTATGGACTTCAGCTTTTACATGAAGAACAGAATTCTTTGCAGCTTCTGGGGGGGGAAAAAAAAAGGCAACATATCAGAAAATTAACAGCTGATCAGCATGCCTGCACAAATGCCCAAAGACTAATATTTTGTAAAGGTACGATCATGCCCTCTGCAAAATAACTACTCTACAGAGTATATTTACTAATGATACCCTGGGCTCCTAAACAATTCTATGAATACAAAGCTTCAGAGTAACCTCAATAGGTCAAGCAGAGAAAGATTACCTCCAATTCAAGTGAAAAAAACCTAAGATCTGATAAAGCAAAGTGCTGATACAGGTTTAAGTGTATGCTGAATGATTTTCCAAATCTGAACCTATGCATACAGGATTTTATTGGTCTAAATTTGTACCCAACTGAAGCCAACAGCTGATTTCTGCTTACTAACTGGAGTCCAGGATTAAGGACAATGGGAATTGTCTGGCATCAGGCAAGAATTCATACAGAAGACAGGAACAGAACCCTCAATTTGTACTTCCTCTGCTGTAAGCATGACTTACAGCCTTACAGGGACTCTCAGTGCATTTGGACTAAGATCTTACACTTCATTGACATGAGCAGTGCAGTTTAAGAGCTATTTTATACTGTTTTAAGCCCAAACATCAGACATGTTTATGCAGTCCCCAAATTCCAAGGGTTTCTTCCAAGCAGTGATTAAAATCAGCAGTCTGCTGTCCTTAGGCTTACAATTGTTCCAGCCACACTGTGAGACCCACCTCTACTTCCAGTGGGGAAGTTGTAGAGGTCTCCGTGCCAGGACAGGCTGAAGACTGCAGTTGCAGACAGCAGCATACTTCTTCCTAACCTTTTATGACCTTGGGTACACCTTCTCTTCAGTGTTGATGTATTTTCTTTTGTAGCTTCTACATACCTCTCTATCCACCAACGTGTTGGGCAACACAGATGTTCATGCTAAATGTAATTCTCCAGTGAGGCTGCTGAAATAATTTAAAGGCTCAGAGATCCTGAAAATCCTGATACATACCAGGGAGAACTGCTAAACCCACGGGGAGAAATTTTGCACTAAGACCTCCCTCTTTGACTGAACCACACAAAAAATGAGATGCTTGCCCCTATGTAATTACTCAGAAAGATAATGGGAAACATATGGCAATGTATTTGTCCAAGGAAATAATCAGTTCGTGCTGAGAAGAGGGAAAATGTGAATTTTGCCAAGAAGTTTGAAGAGAAAATTCCACAGAATATTTTCATTATTTCAGAATCATAAAAATCAGTCATGTTTTATTATTACTCAATTCTTGAAGGCTTTCTGCTCATCTTTGTACTGTCTGCAATCATTTATTGGTTAGTAAATTCAGTTGTTATTATCAAGTCTTAGAGTCCACATTATCGTAACCATCAGCTTAAACTAATTCTGCCATATTTTACAGATTATCAGAGCAACACTTTGCTAGCACAGAATCAATGAGTTGACTGAAAAAAAGTGCACGTGGCTCATTATTTTCACCTATATCTGCTGAGAAACATAGTAAAGTGAAGTAAAAGTTAAGTAAAAAAAAGTAATTAAAACAGAATGGAATTATATTCAGACCATTAAAATCTGCACATGAAAGAATTTCAAGTCTGTGAATGACAAAGCTGAGAGGAGGCAGCAAGTGAGAAACACTGGGATAATTCAGTCAAAGTATGAAGGCAGGAAAATATATTCCCTGAGAAACACAAAACAGCCTAAAACAGCCACCATGTGAGTGGAGTTGCAGAGACGATACTGCTGTGCAACATAAATGACATGTATGCAGGAAATTGCAGCTTCTAACTCTTGTCCTTGTCTGTTGCTAATTGAGAACTGGAAGAAAGACCTGATCTTACTTTCTGTTGTACCTGCATGAATGGTCAGGTCTGTCAACATGAACAGTGGTCAGATATGTTTTAAGGCAATTTTGCAGGTCCTGGGAGGCTTCCTGAGCAAGCAATATAGTTGGTTCTGAGCATTTCCATACTTACTCCTAAACCTACCTTTAATTTGCTCTACTTCATCTTCAAATGTCACTGAACTCCTCCTTCGAGGAGGACAGATGCAGTGTGGGGCATGTGGGCCATCTGAGCTGTAGTCTTCAAGAAGCATTGCATCTGTTCCTGAAACAAAGCAAGAGTTCTCAAACAAAACAGAGTAACACTGGGATACAATATTTAAGTGGTGGCAAAAACTTTTCAGTCTATAGCAGTTTCTTCAAAAGATGTCTAAACTCTGCTTTTGTGAGTGAATTTCAGCTCAGATTAAACACTGCACAGAAAAAGAATGAGGTCAGAGTTTTCACTCAAAAGATTTCGAAATCTTTTCTCATTAGCCATCTAAAACCTCAAGCAGCTCCGAAATGCTGAGCTGCAGAGCTTATAATGTCAAGAGGACAGCAAAGGTGAAACCTTACCTTCAGTATGTAAAGGGTAAAATTGACAGCAACTGCCCCCATTTCCTGATGAAGACAAGAGGCTAACAATGGCTACCTGAGGGGCAGACAACCATAGCTGCCAAATGTCGTGCCTGTAATCAGACCTGGATGGAAATTTGAACTGGAGAATCTTCTGTTCGATTTAGTTTGTCTCTAATAACCTATTTTGACTTTCTTTAAGTATATTTTAATAGGGAAAATTCCCTTGCTAGTTGAGAATAATTTTTGTCTGTGGAGTCTTTTTTCCAGTTTAGGAGTCTTCTTTTTATTTCACCTCCCTGCACTTGCTTTGCAACTTTCCAATATAAAATAGTTTACAAGCACAAGGAAATTAATCCTGGCACTTCTGCAATGCTCTGAGACACAAGGCAGGACTGCAGACTAAACCTCCCTTGCAATGCTGGTCTTTCTGCTGCGTAAGGGAGAAGCAGAGCAAGCATTCTGGGGAGATGTGAGGACAGTGCTGAGTGAGCAGTCCTCAGGGAAGCTGCTGTTGGGAGACACAGTTTACACACATTTGGTGTGTGACACTTCACTATCAGTCCATTTACTCATGTGATGTGACAACAGGCCTAGGACAAAGAACCTTCACAGGTTTCAGAACTCCTCCAGATGGTGGCTTCACATCCCTCTTCACCCACCTGGCTGCTTTTGATCCTCAAATTTATTCTTTTTGCAATAAGGAGGTGTTCCAGCACCCATTTTATAGAAGGTGAAAGACATCACCGGGGGTTTACTGCTAGACAACACACTGCTCCATAGGTCTAGTCTTCACTGACAATTCATTGTGATATAGCAAAGTGATAAACTTTTTAAGGTGAAACTTGTGCATTATGTCATACGTCTCCCTCCAGCACACAAGAGAGAGAATAAGCTGCTGCCCTAATACACAGTCTCAAATAAGCTAACCACTTGCTGTGCTGTTCTGTGGATCAGCTGGGTTTAAGGCTGTCTACAGAAAACACCAGACTCTTACTGATCTCCAAGGGTACCACATCCTCCTCAGAAACGTAGCGTGCAAGGGAAGGGTGGCACTATGTAGAAATAGATACTTTGTCCCATGGAGCAGAATTCTGGTGTGTTCTTTCAAATCTACTAGTCTAGTGCGGTTTTTTTTTTTTTCAAATGAGGCCAGTGAAGAGACTAGCCTCTTCCTCTTACAGGGTGAATCTTCGTCCTTGGAATAATTGATCTCAGGGCAGCATCTTTAGCAATTGGGACTCAGGTCTCACTTCATGTTTTGCGTACAGCTGGCACCACTTGGATTTTTTTTCCTCTCCTACTACTTCACCTGTTTTTCACATGAAAAGCCCAGCTTCTGTTTACCAGGGCAGATAAAGATGCAGCTGTATCACAGGCCACTGGATCATGTAGGGCAGCAGGCAGCATTGAAGAGGGACTAAGACTTCTTTCTGCTCTTTAGTTCCTCACAGCAAAGGCATCCAATGAAACAGTATTTCACAGTGGATCACTGCATATCCATTCCCAGGCTACGGACTGTACTCCCTCCATAACAAACAGCAGCACTTCTAACAGCATTCAGCATGTATTTAGTTTGTTCATTTGTCTAAACTGCTTAGTATCATTCCTCAAAAGATGGTAACACAACATCCTCTTAACTGAGGCAGGTTTACCGGGATGCTATTCTCCTTATCACATACAGCTGCTGAATACCCACAACAGGCATAAAACTACCAGTGTAAAACAACTCCCAAAATAAATCCTAATCCTAGCTACACAGGCTTCCTTTACAAAAGTAAGAAACAAACCTCTAACACCAAGCAAATGTTAGAAGATCACCCTCTGCTGTCTCAAGAGCAGAAATACTCTTTAAAACTAGTGCATTTAAGGAGTGGTAACTGAATTATCTGCCAGAAAGATCTAGCTACAGTTCTGGGTAGAAAATTACTGGCAGAACTCTTTCTCCCTTTTCCAAACGACCTTCAATTAAGAGATCTTAAGTAGTGATGCAATTATAAGCTGAAACCATTCTAAGTGTTTATGTTTACACTGCAGGATGAACAAGACAAGGTCTCTTACGTACTAGGAAAAACAGAATCACATTCTCCACAGCACTTTGTTGCTCTATTCCTTGTGGCTACAGGGAAAGTCCTGAAGAATGATAAAAACTAAAGAAGAAGGGCACAAAAGCAGCAAGTCCTGCTCCCATTACACATTATCAAGGGAGGGTCATCATTCCTTAAAGTAAACAGTATTTTGCAAGTAAATCTATTGAGAGCAAGGAAAGAAAAAAAGCAGCTGCAGCAGTTTTGTTATAACAGCTGGACCAGATGCATCATGTCATCCATCCACCAAGAGCCATCTGTTTACATAAATACAGACTATCCCAGAGAGTTCTGCCAAGTTACAAGTGCAATCTTTTGCCCAAGAAAAGAGAGAGCAAAAGACTTTTAGTTACCTGAATCTTGTGAACAGCTGAAACCTGTGTCTCCTGTGCTGCTGCTGTTGCCTAATGGCCGCCCACCTGCCATGAGGGCAGTGAGATGAGGAGATAGCCCCAAATCTGAAAGAGAGTTTTGTTCTTGTTACACAATGAATATTTAAAGAGGTCTGCAATAGAAAAAAAAAACCAAACTCTTCTAGTAATACCCACTCTATTGCCTTATTTATTATTCTTTGTATAAAACTTACCTTGCTGATCCAGAGTGCATAGCATCTGGACTTCCCATCTCAGAAATCCAGTCAGCAGCTTTCAGGTATCTTTGGAGCCTTTCCATATGGCAAGTTTCCATTCTACCTGCACCATCTCCCTCCCACTCTTTTTGCAATTGCATGTGTTTTATCCAGCCAGCCAGGCTGAACACAGAGCACTCAGAGAGATGGGGATATTTGCCAGATGCTTTCTTGACAGACAAAAACCCAGTAGCCACCAGCAGCTGTCACTGGCCATTAGTGTGGGAGGAAGCTCATGAGCAAGGCTGAGGCACTGAGACGCCCAGTTTCTTTCAAGTCCCCAAAACAAGAAAGGAGGAGATTCTAGTATTCTTAAAAAGGTGCTGTCTTTGCATCCCAATTCAAGATTTTGTTGTGAGTTTGATAATGTTTTTTCCTTCTTCCTATCAGCCTCCAGCTAATGCATCCGATAAATTTGAAGCTGTCAGCTTCTTATCGCTTGGAAAGAGAAAGAAATTTCTTGTCTTTTCCCTCCCAGCTCAGTTCCCAATGTATTCATCTACAGCATCTTGTAGATACAGATCTGCCAAAGCTCCTGCAGCCTGTGATGTGGTTGCAGCTGCAGAACGCTTTCATTTAGATGGAAGTCTCTCCCAGAGACCCCACGTTGCAGAAAAGATAACGGATGCCTTGCTGCTCTCCCCTTCCTTCTGCATTTTAGACCTTCCTTCCCAATTAAATAAATGCAGTTCCTGCCTCTACATGAAATGTGCCAAGGGACCCCATGAAGATATCCTATTTTTGGAAACTTCTGAATGGAACCAGGGAAATGATCAAAAAAAATCAGAATTTCATTGCGTTGCTACTTTAAAAAAAACAAACTCGGAGCAACTGAAGCTCTCAGCCTGCAACCTGGGGAGACAGCAAATAGTTTTACTCTTTTACATAGTTTTACTTTGTTTATGATCTTTTCTTTACAACCATTAAGCCTAAAAAGTGAATTTACAGAAATAGAAACACCAGTGTAACTTTAGTGGATCTCAAGGAGTTGTAGCATAAAGCCAGGGTAGTGCTCAACTCTGAGTAACACAAAATGGTAGACAGATGAAAGGAAATGCTTGAGAGAAAAGAAAATAAATTATTTTTATTAACCTCATCACTATGTTTACCCTAGCAGAGAAAATTTTACTAGAGTAGGAAAAAAAGGTTAGCTCCCACAAAAAAAAAATTCTCTTTTCATATGTCTATGATAACTTGAACAAAATACTGCTGAAACCTCCAGAAACATCCCACTTTGTTTACAGAGCCCTAAAACATGCCAAGCACACGCAGACATTAAGCCTTGCTGGTATTAAGGAAGAGCATCTTTTGTGGCCACATGCCTTACCTGTGATCCTATTGGAAATGCTGAATAACCTCGACGTCCTTTGGCGCTGAACAAAGGACTCGCGATAATATCGATCCCCAAAGCACATTCCCAGTAGTTCCTTGCGCACTGTCTTGTTCCACAATCCATAAATTAGTGGATGGCAAATGGCACTGGAAAAGGACAACCACGTAGCTAACGTCTCCAAGGCAGGGGAAATACTATTTTTTCCCCAAAGTGCCTCTGATGTAATTACCACCATGTAAGGCCCCCATGTAATCACGAAAGCACCGATGACAACCAGGATGGTTATAAAAGCTTTGCACTGGTTGGCTGAGTAGACAACCCCTTGGAAAGCGTTCCTTCGGCTGCCAGAAGAGGACGTGGAGGTGCTGGAGTTCTTCCTCCCATTCCTCTGGGAGTCCTCCTCCACAATGATGACGCTACCACAGTGGATTTTGCGGGCCTTAATCCTTGCCACACGGAAGATGAATCCATAGCAGATCATCATGACCACGAATGGCAGCAACGCGCACCAGATCTGCCAAAAGGCAGTGTAGCCAGCCTCTTTGTGCCAGGCCGCCACACACATCCACTTGAATTGGTCAAACTCCAAAGACGACCAGCCGAAAAGGGGAGGGAGGCAGCCAATAAGGGAATGCAGCCACACATACACAAGAGCCACCACTGCTCTGTTGCCTGTTATCTTCATTGGATAAACCATTGGGTACAGGACAGCATAGTACCTGGTGGAGAAGAAAAGAAAGAGTCAACAGGAGCACAAAAGACGTTCAGTAAAAAAGAACGTATTTTAATGATGTTGATATCTAGTTCTCTTTTCTCCAAACCTCAAAGTGGACTCGGGGGCCCTGTTTATAAAACTCACTACATGTAAAAATACCTATCGTTACAGTCAAAATTGTAAAACTTGGCTGAAGGCACACATGCAGCTATTAAATCTGTTCCTACATGTGAGTGTGTGCTTAGCGTATAATCTGGAACTTTAAGTGACTATTTCTTGTTTCTCAAGTAGTATGTTGTCATACCATCAACAGCTTTAAAAAACTCTGGATGCATGTTCGCATTTTGCATTACTGATGGCGTCACTTTCTTCTGTATCAAAATTTCAGAAGGGGCTGAAGGAAAAATGACACTACAAACAGTACATAGCGATATCCACTACAACGCTTCTCAACTCTATAAACAGTCAAGGAGCCACTCTATGGAAGGACTAGACAATTCCCTACGATTATCGGAAAGAGCCGCTTACCGGTCTATAGCTATGAGTCCAAGAGTAAGCATGCTGGCTGAGCTGATCAGCATGTAGAGCAGGGCTGAGAAATTGCACCAAACGACTCCGAAAATCCATTCCCGCCTGATGGAGCTGGTGACAACAAAAGGTAGCACCAGTACAGAGAGTAAAAAGTTGGAGAGGGTCAGGCTGAACACAAACTTGTTGCTCAATGTGAGAAGGTAAGACTTCCGATAGAGGGTGACGACAATCACCAGGTTGCCCAAACAGATGAAAATTGCAATGACGATTATAGCAATGGACTCTGTTACTCTGACTGCTCCGTCTTCCTGTGTGGTGAGGTTCCTCAGGCCCTTCACATTGCTGAGGGAGGAATTGCTGCTCATGGTCAGAGTGTGCAGAGCTGGAGCAGCCAAGACATGCTGAACAGCTAGAAGCAGAACAATGCTCAGAAACATTCAGGCAAGATTTCTTCAAACTCTCTCCAAAGACTGCAGGCCCTTTTGCCTGCGTTAATTAAAATTTACCTGTAGGATGCAGGAAACCATTTTAGATGGGAAAGCGAAGGGGCAGGAAATTGCCTATGGGTACACCAAAAACATCAACGACAGAGACAAGTCTAGAACAAGGAAAAAACTGTCTGAAAGACAAAAAGAGGTAAAGAGGAGAAAACAAGGAAGAAAATTAGCACATTTTACTTTCAGATTTTCTAAGGATCTTACTTGTTTCTAAGCCACACTTACCAGCTGCACATCTCACTCAGTTGCTTCATCAAGGCTGTGAAGAAACAACAAGAATGTCACTACCAGTCTTTGTTTCTCTCACTTTAAAAAAAGTCACTTTTTTTTTGGAAATCCTCTGCCTGTTTATCCTGGTTGTTACCTTGTATTCTGCCTATGCAGCATTTCCATAGGGTGGTCTGCAGATGCCTGGCTAGTTATATCCTGCTGACTTTTTCTTAACAGTTGCTAAGTAACATTCAAAGACTCAGGGATCATTGCCCATACTCCCCTAACATTGTTCCTCCATGTTCATAACCACCTCAGCTACAGCAGTGATTCTATTTTACTGCCAATACCAAAGGACTGGGGGAACTGGCTTTCTGTGCGTGAGGCTCGAAAGACACTTCCTTGCATTAAGCCCCAGTCCACCGTATAGAAATGTTTGAGAATCTTTAACCCTTGACTTCTCTGCGTTAGCATCGATCCCACTGACTCACAACCTCGTTTTGTGAAACCTCACTATTTCTCCCAATTCCTCAGCAGCCTTCTCCCCACTGACTCCAACTGGCACCCCTACCTACTTCATTCAATCCCTCACCCATCTGCAGGCCAGCGTGCTGAAGAAAAAAACCACCACCAAAACGTGCAAATATGCAAACCAGAGAACTAAACAGTCCGACAATTAACATAAAGTTGATATCAGCATTTCTTTGGAATTAAGGACTCCAGGGAAGTTGTATTGGCTAACTCTGTGGCTGTGCCCACCTGTGGCTTCCAAACAGCCGGGAGTACTCACAGAAACGCTTCCGTCTGCATGGCTGCTGTGGCTGTAAGCAGCAACGTCAGGCTGGAGAGCCGTGTTTTTTCCATCTTTATCTGTGCTTTCCTAAGAACATAATTAAAGACATTACTGGGCCACGCTTTGTAAAACGTAACTCGTCTCTTCCCTAACAAAGCTGTCCGCCGACTGCTTGCAAAAACATTTCCCCTCAACTTCGCTTCTCAACACGCCCGCACCACCTCCCTGAGCCTTTCCAACGCTTTTCGGCTGGTGCGGGTTTCGGGAAGGCGGCCACCCCTGAAGGGCTGCGGCCGCTCCCTACACGAGCGACCGGCCCGGGCCGCCGGCAGCTCCCCGTCCCCTCACGGCCCTGCTGCACCCCGCGGCGAGGAGAAGGGCCTCCGGGAGAGGTGCTTCGCCCGGGGCGGGGGGAGCACCCCACCCCATCCCACCCCACCCCACCCCATCCCGGCCCGGCGTGCCGGCACCCGCAGAGCCAGCGGTGGCGAACTGGAGATACGGTGGGGTGCGGAGTGAGGGAGGGGGGGGGGTCGCCATTTTGCCCCCGCGCTCCCTCCGGCAGCGAACAAAAGGCGGGGGGGGGGGGGGGCGCGCAGAGCCCTCCGCCTCAGGCATCCCTCACCCACCCCGGTCCCGCCGTCGCTCTCGTTGCCCGCCCGCCGGGTCCAGCAGCGCACTCACCGCCAGCGCGGGAGGTTTCGGGTGACACCGCCCCGGACCCCCCCCCCCCCACACCAGCCGCCGCCGGCTGAGAGGCCCCGAGCCGCGGCGCGGCGCGGCCCGACCCTCCCCCGCCATGGCCATGCCCCTGCCCCCGCCCCACCGCCTCATCCCGCCGCGCCCCCTCCCCGGCCTCGCCGCCCGCCATTTTCTCGGCGGCCGCCCCCCCCCCCCCCCCGCGACTCCCGGCGGGCGGGCCTCGCTCCCGCAGCCGATCTCGGCCGGCGACGCCGAGGGAGGAACTGGGGGGGGGGGGGGGGAAGGTGCGGAGAGCCACCAGGACACTCCCGTCCCGGGCACAGGGCTCGCCACGGCGGCGCAGAGAGCCCTGCCGTGCCCTGGCTTTTTTTTTTGGGGGGGGGGGGGCACCGCACCCACCCCGCGGGCCCGCCCGCCACTCCCTGACGCAGGGGAAGTTCCCCAGGGAATCCAGCTAAAAGGACGGGGGGGGGGTGGGCGGAATCCATTTTGCACAGATCAGGTGAAGTGGCGTGGCTTGGCCGGGCGCATCTTTAGCAAGATGCTAAAGACTTCCTCGACCCCGAAATGCTACTAGAAGTAACACAGAGCGGATTTGGGGAGGAGTTCTTTCCCCCCCCCACACACACACACCCGAAACAAGACACCAGTGAGCACAGTGTAAAGGGTGAACGATAATTCAACGCTGCGCTTGCGCATCCCCAATTCCTGGCTTCCCATAACCCGGCGAGTCCCTTGAGTGCAGAGGGGGCGACTGCTCCGGCTTGAGCTTTGCTGTGATTGCGCTGGGGTTTGGAAGAGACGGGAGTTTTTCACGGCACGGGCGTCACATCCCCGCGGCTGACGTCTCAGCTTGCCCTGGTGCTGTGGCCCGTCCAAGGGAGCCGAACCACGCGTCGCTCCCCCCCCCCCCCCGTGCTCAGGGAAGTTCGTGGGGAGTCACTCTGTCCTTTCGATGATGCAGAGGAGCGCCCAGAGCACCCGGCCATCAGTAAATTCTGCGTCGTTCTCAGCCAGTTCTACCAATGCTTTCCTACAGGATTCTGAGCTCAAGCGCGCCATCACCCTTTGACATTTTGCAAAGACCCATCTCTGGGCAGCCCTGGGGAAGATGCCCAGCCGGCGCCGGAGATGCCACGCGCACACGCGCGACACCTAAAATAGCGTCAGGCGCCCGCACGTCGCCGCTCCGTGATGTTTTTGCCGAACCTCCGAGCGCGGCCCGGGACCACCGGGGCTCCGGAGCTCCCCGTGACTGCCCGCCGTCCCCGCGGCCGCCCTCCGGGTGGGCCGGGCCGGGTTCGCTGGCCCCGGGGATGCGTCCGGAGGCGCGAACGCTCGCCGGGCGCGCCCACGTTTCGCACCGGCTGGCGCAGCCCGTTTCCCCTCCGAGCGCGGGGGCGCGGGGGACCTCGCTGCCCCCCGCCCCAGGCAGGGTTGGCCGGGGACACCCCTCTCCAGCGCTGTCACCCGGGAGCGCGGAGGGACGCGGGTCCCTCAGCTGCCGCCGCCGCCGCCCCACGGTTTCCGCGCCCCCGGAAGCGGAAGCGCCTTGAGGCGGCGGTTCCGTTGCTGCCGTTGGGGCTGTGAGGGCCGGCGGCGGGGAGAGGGCGAGAGGCGAGGCGAGGAGGGACGGGGTAGGCCCTGCCGTCCCCTCCGGCCCCTCTTGCCGCCTCCTCCTCCTCCTCCTCCTCCCCGGCGGGGCCGTCCTCCCGCGCCTCCGCCATGCACCCCGTTTTCCAGAGCAGCCGGCGCGACTTCACCTTCGGGCCGTGGAAGCTGAGCGCCGCCCGGACGCACATCATGAAGTCGGCGCAGGCCGAGAGGTGGGGAGGGCTGGGGGGGCCCGGGGGGACCCTCGGCGGGTCGCTGCCCTTTCCCCTCCCCTCCCCGGGGCGCTCCGGATCTGGGGGGCGGGGAGGAGCCTCCGCGGGGCTGGGCCCTCACGCACCGACACCGGGGGGTCTGGGGCATCTTGTCGCCCTGTGCAAGAAATAAATAACGTTCCGTAAGTGAGGGAAATGCAGTTTAGGAGTGTGTGTGTCTGTTCCCTGTCAATTTGCGAGGGTAAGCTCGATTTTTTTAGCTGGAGAAATTGGGGTGATTTGGCTTGCAGATGGTTCCCAGAATCTTGTTTTCAGTGATTGCTAATGGCTTTGGAGATCTGGACATCTGTGAACTGAAGCCTGATAATTAGAAGCCTGTTTTTCTTAATTACTTTATAATGGGGATTAAGATTCTCTTAAACGTGGTCCACAGACTCTCATAAACTATTCCGTGGTAATGACTATTTTCAGATAGTGGTTTTCATTAAAAAGGTATTATTTGCTCTCTCCTTGTAGTAGTAGTTTATACTGCTGCCCGGCTGTTGGAGAAAATGCTCTTGTGTCAGCATCAACTTCTTAAGTCAGATTTGCTAATGTGGAATTGAGCAGTTGCTGTGTAGTGCCATAGCAGGCCTTGGTGATAGTTGAATTGGACGGATACTTCTTGGTTTCAGTTTCTGGAATACATATGTAGAAATTTAGTCAGTCTTCTTAAATGTATCTTCATTCATGTTACTTTTAACTTTTCTGAGGCTAATTTGTTTGGTAAAATCCTGTGTCTTGAAGTGTTATGCTTTTTTTTTTTTATGATAGTAAGCTATGTAAATACTAAATTTTTAACTATAACAGCATAATACTGATTTATTTTTTTAAAACTAGATATCTGCCTCAAAAATGGTTAAAAAGTATGTTCCTTCTTCCATCTTTATCCTATGTTCAATGCCTAAAATAATCTCAAAGTGCTTTTGTCTAGTGGTCCTTTAGTTTTTGCAGTTAAAGGTAAGAAAACTTGAATGCTGTGATTTAGTAATTTTTCTATAATGAGGATTCAGCATCCAGCTAAGCTGGACCTATGTCCTGCAGGAGAAGGAAGGCTGTTATTAGCGTATCTCATTTTTATGGCATGCTTGTAAAGACTTATATTGTAGGATGCTACCTCTTAGAAATCTTTATTCTTAAGATCAGGAGGATGTTAACTCTCTCCATTATCTGTGAACACAAGAGAGATTTGAACTGCCAGTTTAGAAGCCAAATTGCCTGCTGTATTCATCTTCTGATGTATTCAGTTTCTTTAACTGCAGCTATTTTAAAATAAACAGTCACCTCTTAATTTTCAGAAATTACCTTTATCTGTTTAGATGTTTTTGAGGGACAAACGCATTCAGGACATGTTGAAAAAGGCTGAAAATTAAAGTTGCAAGAGCCACAGCACAAGCTTGAAAGAGCACGGTGCATTTTGCGGGGTAGGGAAGTCAAAAATTAGCCATTTACATGTAGGTCTTGGTATGTAGCATGAGATCCCCAAAACAGTTTTTCCAATTCAAGTTTGAAGAGTCAAGAACTATGCAGTTGCAATGCTTTTAGTCAGCTTCCTCTTATAATGTATTTCTCTTGGCATTTTGATTTTTTTTTTTATTGCTTGGGGAATATCATTAGTATCTGCAGGAGTTTTATTCCTGGCAAATATATTGCAGAAATCTTTCAGCAACCTCTGGGGAAAGGTGAAGGATTAAATGTGCCATAGCCAAGAACTCCTTTCTGTGCTGGGCTTGGGTTTTGCAGGTCAAGGGACCTACACCCAATGAAATGGAGAAGTTCATAACATTATTCTGCCTTCTCTGGGAAAGACATAGGATCTTATTCTCCCGATCTACACATTTACTATTTTTGTTTCAGTTAGGATAGCATAATGTTCTTTTGTATGCAGGGTTACAGAAATCACCACTTTTTTTCAGGAATACCTTATTATCAGTGTGAAAGTTGTGATTAGGACACTTGTTTTCCTTCCCTCATTATAATTACTATATTTCCTAAGATTTGATTCTCTCCAGATGTCATATATTTCTTTCTGATCTTGATAAGTAAAGTAGGTAGTAGTAGGGAGGGAAAGGAGTATATGAAGCCTTTTGGTAAATAAGGTCAGTATGTATATGAAGTGGTGTAGTGTGTGTGTGTATCTATATATGCATAAATAAGTATGAAGACTGATATAAAACAAAATGTGAAATACGATGCTTTGAGATTTTCTGCAGGGATCATGTTTATTTTGTTCCTGCAGTACTTTGTTCAGTTGGGTCTGTGGCTTTCATGCTTAATGTTACAAATACTGCTATGTGTTCTCTACCAGCTTGGGAAAGTAGTAGAGCACGGTAGTAGTGTCTTCTGCACTTCTCACATACTCTGCCTGGGTTGTTTTCAGCCCCTTTTTGCAGGCTTCTAAATTTGGAGGTATACTTTACACTTGCTGGCAATGAGTGCTTATTCCTAAAACTTCTTTTTGGGCACCTGCTGAAGAAGTAGTTCATGGACCGTCCAGGGATTTGTTACAACAGGTTGAAAGCTGCTACTTCATGCTTATCAGATTTTTTTTTTTTTTTTTGGATTCCTCATGCAGGAGCCTTTTGTATGAGCCTGATGTGGAAGGAATGTTTTAGGAATACTTTTGTGGTGGAAAAGTCACTTCAGATCAGTGACTCCACAATTCATGTCAAGTGATTAAACTGGGAAAACGAAGTTTTGCAGAACATATTGATGATGTGTCTTCTAAATTACCATGGTCTAAAGAATATTTATTGCTAAACAAGGCCTGCTTTCACTGAATATAGCTGACTGGTCTCTCTTCCTGGGACTTTGATTTTTCTGTGCAGACTGGCTGATGAATTGCACATGCCTTCCCTGCCAGAGATGATGTTTGGAGATAATATCCTAAGAATACAGCATGATCGTGGTTTTGGAATTGAGTTCAATGCAACAGATGCTTTAAAATGTGTCAATAATTGTCAAGGTATGATCAAAGTGGCTTGTGCAGAGGAGTGGCAAGAGAGCAGGTACAGTATTTTATCACCAACGGGCAAGTACTGGTGTGTTGTATGTGAAACTGTTACAAAGTTAAAACAACAGACTGAACTCTTGAAAGCCATGTTGCATTTGGTTCTACCATAGATGCAGCCTGTGGTCAGAGAAGTCACTTAGCTTTTCTTTGCCATGATCATCCCATCTGTTAAATTGGGTCAGCTATATTTTTGAGTTGTGTCTTGGATTTCTTAAAATAAGCTACAAGTTTAACATGGCTTAATTTTATTTGTGGTTATTCAAACTCACAGAGCCTTCAGCATTACAAGATTGTATTGTGTGGTGTTTCAAAGTGCAAAATGCTGTATGTGTTCAAAATCTTAGCCTTAGGAATATAGTAGAACCATGCACGAGAACTAATTGTACTGCTTCGTATTTACCAAATTAGTTGCAGAACACCTAGAAATAAAGCACAGAGAGAAATGAGAGCTGTCATGAAAACTAATGCAAATAGTAGTGTTAATGATTGCTCTGTGTTAGCAGCAAATTGCTTTCTGCCTACTTAAAGAAAAAATGATCTTGAAATACAAATTTTTTCAACAACATTGAACTAAAATCTTTATTTTGACTCATAGGACAGATATAGTGTTAGCACAGGAATTCTGGTAACAGTTTTCTAATTTATTATGGAAATAGATGATGTGATTAAAAGCAGTACTGTATGATTAAGTCTTGACATCACTGCAGCACAGACAGTGCTGCTGTTTTTCTTGAAGAGTGTGTAAAATGTAATACATAATGTTGTATAAAGTTTGTAATTTTTAAGAATTACTGCAAATTACTGTTTTCTCTTTCACTTCTTCAGGAGTGAGACTGAGCACACTAAGGAAGTTGTCAAGCCTTATGATTGGACTTACACAACAGACTACAAAGGAACATTGCTGGGAGATACTGCAACATTAAAGGTACCGTTTTCTCCTTGTTAAATGCTGATTGCATATTGTTTCAGTCAAAAACAAATACTTTTTGCTTCATAGTTTCTGACTTCAAAGGATAGTTTGGGCTTTTCATGTCTCAGCATGTTATACAAATTATGGCTTATTTTAATAACTGTTTTGTTTTTTTTTTTTTAAGCGTTTTAGAATTTTATAAGGGGGTGCCATTGTGTCCTTTGGAGAGTAAAGCACACAGGAATCTTCAGCACTTGCTGGATGCCCTTCTGAGCCCCTCACACACGACAGAACTATCAGCTGTTTAATTCTTTAGTACCTTTACTCTCTGTTGCTTGCCCCTTTGTCTCAGCAGATATGTAGATCTGGATTTACGTTTTTCTGCAACAGTAACTCCTCATTTAAACTCACAGGCTCTCCCTTGTCTTTATTTACTTTAAAATAAGACTGAAGTTCCCAGTTTCTCTATACTATATACAGATTGCTTGCTATTAAGCAGATAATCTATATTAACTCACTAGGATTGCATTAGTTATAGATCACTTGTATTAAAAGTGCAGCATAGAAATAAACAATGTCTTGTTAGCCTATAGTCTTTAGGCAGCAGAAGTGTATGAGTGTATATGGAGACCATAAGATAAAAAACATACAGGTATTTGATTTCCATTGAAGGGCTTTATTGGAATCTTGTTCAGGGTTTATAGTGGGCTAGAGATACTAAATGCATGGAATCCTGTTTATAACCCAGAACTTCTCATTTGTATATTAAACACGAGGTATCTTCAAATGTTTTGGAATGCAGAATTGTTTGCAGATGAAACTCTACTGAGCCTGTACCAAGAGGGAAGTTGATTCAGAATTTTCTACTCTTGGTTTTTGCTTTGGTTGATGCTTCCTCTTGGAAACCTTGGTTTTAATTTCAACTTTTTCTCTTAAAAATTTGGAATGTTTTAAACTTAGTGCCCTAAAAGCTTTTTCCTTTCTAAAACTAGCAACTGTGGAATTTAAAAGATCAGGACAAACTTCACGTAGCTTGGTAACAAATGAATACGCTAACTCTTCTTAATATTTTTCTTTAGGTTGTTCCTACAACAGAACACATAAATACAGAGAAATTGAAAGCCAGGGAACAAATCATGTTTTTTGAAGAAGTACTTCTGTTTGAAGATGAACTTCATGATCATGGAGTGTCAAGTTTGAGTGTAAAAATAGTAAGTACTAAGAGGTGTATACAGGAGGCTTGATGACTCAGTTGGCTAATATAGACAAAATACGGTCACTTCTTGCATGTTATTCCTTCTGGGATTTAAAGTTTAAAATGCAAAGTTCTTCATCCTCGCTCTTAGAAATATAATCTTCAAGACAACATAATTTCCAGTAAATCTTTCTGTCAGTTACTTCAGGCAAAAATCTTTTCCCTCTTTCTGCATCCTGCCTTAAGAATCTTTTGAGACACTGTCTGCCCTGCTGTCCAATGATAGCTGTAGCATATCAACAGCCCAAACTTTGATTTTACCACTGAAAGCTCCTCATACTATCTTTTGTTGTGAATATCTGATGTAGATAATTGCATACTTACTGATATAATAATAATTACTTAGCATTATCTATCTTATTAAAATAAAACTTTGTAATATGCTGAATGGAACATCTTTATTTTTGCAGAGAGTTATGCCTTCCAGCTTTTTTGTGCTGTTGAGGTTTTTCTTGCGAGTTGATGGGGTACTTATCAGGATGAACGACACAAGGCTTCATCATGAGGTAAACCCTTACTCACCATCACGAGTATTTAACAGATGCTCCCTTGCCATGTTACTTTCAGAGAAGACCTGCTGATATTCCTGTAATTTAATACTGATGTTTGGGGGCTTAGAGGTTACCTGAACTGAACTTTTCAGGTGTATTTTATTATTGAGGTGGTGCTGAAGTAGCACCAAGTGCTGCATGCCATGGGGCTAGGTATTGTATGAGCAGAATAGGCTGCCCTTTATCTGAAGTAATCATTTAAATATATTTGACAGATGCAGATTAGAGAGGAAGTACAAGAGGAAAAATAGGCAATACTAAATGGTGTTACATTGTTCTTATCATCATCTCCATGTGAATGTTTTTTGGCTTGCCTAATATATGACTGCAAGTTTTAACTTGCAAATAATTGTCCATACTAGATCAAGCTCTATTATCTCATAAATAATACAGAATGTAGCAGTTGTAGTTTGCTTATTCTGTCTAGCTGTATTCGTACTGATGATGGGGTTCTAGCTGAGTAAAGATTAACAAGTGTATTCAGTCATAGAAATTTTTTTTTTTTTTTCATGCATGCACACAGAAAGGTGACTTTTGGGAAAGAGAACATTGCTAAACATCTTTGTCTTCGTGAATTTGAACATGCATTTCTGCTCCCAGGTGAAGAATCTGTGGTCAACCAAATTTAAATGCTTATTACATTCATTGTATTTAAAATGTTTGTTTTGCACTGATTCTAGATAATAATTTTGTAATTAATTTTTGCCATTTTTTTCCCATTAGGCTGACAAGGCCTACATGTTACGAGAATATACATCCAGAGAAAGCAAAATATCAAGTTTAAAGGTATTGCATTTTTTAAATTTTCTTTTTCTTCTGTCTGCCTTTAAAAATTGTTTTATGGTCATTATAGGAAATACTGTGTCAGTAAGTCATTGTTAGGTTTGAAATTGATAAAGAGGAAAAACATTTCTGCTTACGCAACATTTATTTTGGTGACTTCAGGGCAGATCTGCATTTGTAAATGCTCAGATCACGTGACAAGATATGGGTTTGTGTTACCTTTATAGGTTTGAGTTAACAAGATCTTTTCTATTATTTTGTTATTTCATAGAATTGTTTGGCCACAAAATCAGGCAGTCCATGTCCCATGATGCTAAATTTCAGGTCTAGTTGTATGCTTGCAATTAGTATTAAGGGTTAAAATCTGTTTGACTCATTCACTTTTTCTCAAATAAGTTTAACAGCCCACCTTAAAACTTTAGTAATGACTCAGAATAATTTGTGGCAGGTTTGGAGTTGCAGCTGTTGATTTTAATTCTTGACCCAACACCTGATCTTGGGTATTCTTGTTACTTTCCTTCTCTCTTGTTTTTCCTTCACCTATAAAAAGTGACTAACATGTTACTAACCTTCTGAGGGAATATTTGTGCAAAATGCTTTTGTTTTTGAGGAAAGGGGCACTGTGTCATTTCTTAACGATATGTGATCCCTATAAACAGGATTAAATCCAGACGTGAGCTTTTTGATAGTTTTGTGTGTTTTGAAATATAAATCAGTTATCAAGGTTTTACTTTACCACATGTTTAAAAATTATCATCTATGCTATTAAATAATTTTTACTGTCTGTTGTTATAGAGAGGAAATGCATATGGCTTTTCAGTCACCTACACCAGCTTGTATAGATAAAGCAAAAAAAGATTCCTTCTTCACTTAGGTTTGAAATAATTGAAACAGCAGTATGATTCATTGTGTGTCAGGGGTGGCCAAAATACAGGTTGCATTTGAATAGCCCTGGATACACTTCTTAAAGAATGTTATTAGAAAGTTTGAAGGTGGTTTGTTCAGTACAGATTTTTATTTTCATCAAATGTCTTGTATGTGATGAAGTTGTCTACAGGAATCTCCAGAGAAAGATACTGATTAACTTAATGAAACCACCTAGTTTCTTCAAATACGAAATTAAAATCCAATGGGTTTTAGTATTTCATATAAATGTCTGTGGTGGACTTCATGAAACTAAGATACAAGTTGAGGTATATCATTTTTCAATAGTTAAATCTGAGCAACTCCAGTGAATATATTGCAATGGCTTGAAGACATTAATCATGGGATCCCCTTGTGGCTATCATAGTCTCATCTAGAACTAGAACTGAAAAAGACTGTTACATTCAAATGATAAACACATTAAAACATTGTAGGTTTTCATGAATATATCCAACTTTCTTGTGCTCTTACAAATTGCTGCTTAAAGACATTCAATAGCTTTCCTTAGCCTATTGATCCACACAAGGGGTAAAAGACTGTATGTACATTTGAAGATATACAGTAAATTTTAATAATCATACCTGATTGTAGGTATTTAAATCAAGTAAATTAAAGATTGTCTGTAAAAGTTTGGGTTTGGAATACTTTTTCCTTCTTCCCCTGCCTCCCCCCCCCTTCTTTAATTCACTTGTTTATGTAAAATTTTTGCTTCTTAGCATGTTCCACCTTCCCTGTTCACGGAACCTAACGAGATCTCTCAGTATCTACCCATAAAGGAGACAATCTGTGAAAAACTAGAATTCCCAGAGAAGCTGGAGCCTAAACCAGAAGCATCACTGGAAACCATGTGCGTTAAGTCTAAATAAATGTGACTTTACATGGACTTGAACTAGACTGGAGATAATGTGATCACGTAACCATTGCCATGGGAGGTGGTTTCACTACTAGTGGAATAAAGAATTTGGCTAATTTTTCTGTAGCCCCGAGAGGAAACATTTCAAGCAGGTTTTGTTAATGGTGTTTTTTGTTTGGTTGTTTGGGTTGGTTTGGTTTTTTTTTTTTGGTTTTGTTTTTTGTTGGTTTGTTTTGTTTTTTTTTTAACCTGTATCTGGAGTTAATGATAAGCTGGTGGTTAGTTTTCAACATCATTGGAGAAAGACTCTCGCGATGAAGACTCTGGGTTATGTGTAGTTGACTGGTTAGGCAGGAGTATTGTCTGGACCCTCCACCACAGATGCTTCTATGAAGATTTTGTTATTGCTGCTTCAGATACTAAGAAACTACTGGAGTCATAAAACTGGCATGATTTTGTTGATAAATCATCCACTGAAAAAGGAAAAAAAAAAAGAGAGATTTTCCTCTGCATTTACTTTGAGCTGTCAGTCCTAAACTACACATTTTGCTTGGCTTCCCCTACTGTGAGCAGATAAACTACTAAGTTACTTTTTAGATTCTCTGATCCAGACTCTAACGTAAGAATATTCATTTCATCTGAGGATAGGTTTAAGGAGGAAAAAAGATAATTTGTTTGATAGTATATAAAGGTAAAATTACCTTATTTGTGAAGCATTAACTCCAGAGAGGAGAAAAGCTGGAGGTTAACAGAGATAGGCTGGTAAATCTCTTCACAAATACTAGTTTAATCTGATGGCCAGATTTCTCTAGTCAGTCCTGGATACTATTATTTGGGGTCTGTGTGTTGCTACAGTGATGTACTGCATTGGAAACGCTTTGTACTGTATTGACGTTCTGCTGGACATACCAGATGGTGCCCATGTGTGATGGTTATACTGCCCTGACAGTCAAATTGCTAAATTGCAGAGTAGCTTAAGGCTGAGGAAGAGAGGGGTGTTTAATCCTTAAAGGATGCTGGTATTTGCAGTTTGAGAAACAAGATCCTATATAGCCATAAAAGGATGCTAACATGTATTCCAGATACATTGTTTTGGTTTATTTTTACAATTCTTTATGTTCTGCTATTAATATGTGTGATCATGTGTATAGTCATGGTTTTAACTCAACACTTTGTAGATTAAACTTTAAATATTTGTATTGCTTTTGAAAATCCTAAATTATGTTAATGGTTTGGCCTAAGAATGAGGGAGCTAAACAGACTTGTCTAGGTTTTGTGTTCACACTCAATGAAGTGCAAGAAGTAAATCTGAAGCAAAAAACAGGCCTTGTATTTTAAGGTGATGTCAGTTAAGAATGTGTATACATTCTGATGTCGTGGAGTTTTTGTTTAAAAATCTTCATATTTTACACTGCATGGCCTAATAGAAACAACTCACCTCAAAACCTGGTATTTAACCAGGTATTTTGGGAAGTGGTTTTCACTTAGAGAAGACCCTGAGGCTTTTAGAAAAAAGTCTGCTGCCACCTAAGTGACTGTTTTCTTAATAAAAACAAACAACACACTTAGTTTCACTTTTCTTTGAGGCAGCCTGGTCTAGTTGACAGGCAGGAACTAACTGCAGTTTTTCCTGTGTTACTGATTTACTCTAACCAAGGGGAAGTCACTTCTCTGTGCCTCAGTTCCCTGTGTGTAAAAATGAGAGTTAATACATGCTTACCTCACTGAGGGTCTGTGAGAATTATTTTTTAAAAAGTTATCGATTATATTTTTTTTTTTCCCTTAATATACCTTCAGCCTTATCTTTGGAATCCTTTGGAAGGGATTACTGCAAAAGGTCTTATGATCCATAGGATATAATGGGTGAAAAGAAGTGAACTTAAACAGTATCTGAAAGGAATTATTATCAGCCAGACATGATCTGGGTGGGTGAATTTATGGCTGCTTTGAAATAGATGTGAGGTCCTCTATATTTGCTATTGGTCCTAAGTTCTGCTGGCTCTTTTTTCATCTTTCTGTACTTGTTTCCTAAACATTTTAGTGTCAGGATGAAAAAGGTGCTGCAAATGAACGCAGCGTGGAAATGATCAAAATTCTGTTGGTAACAGAGGATTATTTAGGTTTGCTCCAGTGACAGAGGGATATGGGGAGAGAGTGGAAAGGAACAACAAAGGGGAGTGAAGAGATATTTTGCTGGTAGAAGTAAATCATAGCACTTCTTTTACACTAAGCATATATTATTTTACCTGCCTCAAAGGCTTAGAAAACACACTTTAAAGCTGGTAGTGACTGAGAGGAGAGCTGATGTAGTGCTAGCATGAAGGAAACTATATCTACATTCGTTGATTAAAATTGTGATTTGGGTTTGGTCAGTGATGCTAACATTATGCTCCATTGGGCTAAAGTATAGTGGGGGGTACCCCACCAAATGGACACCTAGCATTGAAAGGGGTGCTCTGCATGTTTAGCTTATTCTGTGTATTTTATCTTGTCCATCATACATACTAATTTGTGACCTGTTGATACAGTTGTCTTGAATGGACTTGAATCCTGACTATATAGATATATGATAACCATCTATTTTGGGTGCTGTACAGTTAAGTGGAACACACACGTTGGGGAAATCACTAGAACATGTTTAGGAAGTTACAGTTACTACAAAGTAAAATTTAGAGCACTTTCTGACTCTCATACCACACAGGTTATCTAGAAGCAGCAGTATAAACTTGTGTACCGCAAACACTCTGGTACAAATTTTCCACAGAAAAGTACCACTTTCGATACATCATTTTGGGGGGAGGGAGTGGGGTGATTCTCCAGCTGTTTTGTGGCAAGTTTAACATGTGGCAGTTTATATTCTTTCTTGTATGTCACTAAATAAAATGTACCAAACATTTTATAGTTCTGTTTTTATCTGAGGAAAATAAACTGAAATAACTCCTTGTGATGCTGAATGTTACATGCTAATAAGATGCTGCATCCATGTGCCTTTGCCTGTCATCAGACCACTCCGGCTAGTTAGGAGGAGAAGGTGAGACATTTTCAAAGCAGAGGAAGAGCTACAGTAGCGGGAGCAAAATGAAATCTGTATTGCTATTTCTATGAGCTTCACTCTTGACAAGTACTGAATTCAGAAGCGGTGGGAAGAGATTGGATATGGCTCTAGAAGGAAAACTGGCTGAGAGCGTGGACTCTTATTTTCTGAAGTCTGGAAAACACTGGAACAATTTAGATGTCAGGTATCATATGCTTGGAAGAGTTAGAAATGCCAGACTTTTAGGGAAAGTGGGAGTGTTCGCTGTCTTCTAAAAACCCCAAACCTATAACCTACTACGGCGATCAACTCTCTGCCCCATGAACCTGGGAAGGGGCGCAAGGCTCGTCGTAATATCACTGGTTGGGACGGTTTGCAGCACTGCGTTTCGTTCAGCTGCTCCAGGAGAGCTGTCAGAGGGCGGCAGGAGCGTCCGGGGGAGAGCACGGGACCAGCTCCCCCCTCTCCAGGACCAGCTCCCCCCCTTTCCAGGACCAGCTCCCCCCCTTTCCAGGACCTTTCCCCCCTCAGTCTCTCTGACGGCGGGGCATCGTCCCAGGAGCCGAGGCGCCGTGGCTCCGAGCGTAGGGCTCGCCGGCACCGCGCTGCTCGGGACGCGGTGGGGGGAGGCGCCGGCCCCTTCTCCGCCCGCAAAGCCCCGGGGGCCGGCTGGTCTCTTACCCCCTTCACCGCCGGGGGCCGTCCCGCCGCCGCCCCCGCCCTGCGGACTACATCCCCCGGCAGCCTCCGCGCCGCCGCCGCCGGCTTTTCCACCTACCTGCCGAGCGCAGGTAGCCCCGCGGCGGCGCGGTGCACGCTGGGGCCGGTAGTCCCTGAGGAGGGGAAGGGCAGTCCGGCCGCGCGTGGGGCAGAGCCGCTCGGGCGGGGGGCCGAGGCGGGAGGCATGGACAAGCTCAAGCGGGTGTTGAGCGGCCGCGACGCGGAAGAGCCAAGCGGCCTGGCTGAGGTAACGCTCCGCTCCCGCCGCGCACCTGCCGCCCTTGGGGGGGGGGGGGGGGGGGGGGGGGTGCTGCGTGTCGGGGTCCCGGCGGCGGGGTGGTGTGTGGGGGGAAAGCCCCGGGCCGCCCCTCAGCGCCCCCGCAGCCTCTCGGCGCGGTTCGGCCGCCGGCGGGACCGGTCCGCGCCGCCTCGGCCCCGTCGTTGGGCCTCCCGCTCGCCGGGGCGGAGCCGGCCGGGGGCGGCGGTTCGGCTGGAGCTGGTGTCTGGACCTCGCGCGTAAAATCGCCCGTGTTTTACCCCGCGAGATCCCTGGGTGGGGGGCTCCGGCTTCTGGGTGTTATGAGGGAGAGAGCGGCTCGCTTTCCCGAGTGAAGCGGGGCCGGGGGGGGGGGGGGCGCACGGGGGGGCTGCTCGCAGTCAGCCCGAGAAGAAAGCGGGGGAGCGGGAACGCGCCCACGCACCTGCTTGGTGTGGGCAGGGGGAAAGGAAACACAACACGAAAACCCCAGCGAGACAACCAACGTACGCGCACACACGCCCGGTGGTTTGTTTGGCGAGTTGGGAGGAATAGCGAAAGTGAAAAAGTTGAGCGTGAGGGGCCACGGGCCGGCGGGAGGCGGCGCCCACGCTGCCCACGGGCGGTGGCGGAGGGCGCTTGGGAGCCGTTGGGCTGCTTAGAGGAAGTTTACCCACTCGATACGTGGCGAGATCGATTAGTAAACAGTAACTTGCGCTCCTGTTTCTCTCCTCGTTTCTAGGTTGTTGATGCAACCTCGTTAGGTTGGGGCACCAGAGTGAAAGGCTTCGTCGCTTGTTTTGCCATAGGATGCCTCTGCTCGCTCTTGGTAAGAACTTACTTTTTGCTAGATCTCGTTGATAAATTTAAGTTTCAGGAGCCCCAATAATTACAGCTTTGCTGAATGCTGTGGCTTGGTTTTTTTTTTTTGTTGTTTTTTTTTTTTTTTTTGAATCTCTGCAAAGACATCTGGCTCAGTTCCAGTTAGATGTAACACAAACTCTAAACAGCAATGCCAGTAAACGCAATTTACTTCTGTGTGTGTGTGAGATTCTGCAGTTTGTGTTAAAGTTTTCCTAAGATTTCTTTTGTGTTGTGCCATTTCTTGGATGCCATTTCTTTTGCAATTTAAAAATAGTATTTTTTTTTTCTCCTCTCTCTGTTAATGTTCCTTTTTAGGGTACTTGTCTGCTATGGGTACCAAAGAAGGGGCTGATGCTCTTTGCAGTGTTTTATACTCTGGGGAATATTGCATCTATTGGGAGGTAACAATCTTTATATATTAATTCCCTAATAAGGGTGAGAAACTAAAGCAGAATGATAGGTGAAGGTGCATATGTGGTAGAAACTGTTGCATTTGTGTGAGAAGATTTGCTTGTGTAGATCATTCTCTATTTGCTGATTTTTAAAGAATGGCATTTCCCTATTAGTGCCCTGAAATGCTAAAGAAAATTTTTGTTTATTGTTACTAGCAGTGCATTCAAGGTACAAGTTCCTCATCAGTAGAGAAGAATCAAACTAATTTTTTGAACAATTGAGGGGTTTTGATTTTTTTTTTTGTTGGGTTTTCCCCCCTGAAGATAAAAATAATTCTTTGGCATTTTGCACTTGTTAGTGTTCTGTGTGTTTTGGTGAATGTATTTGGGGCAGTCCGTCTGTCAGGGTAGGCCTGTTTGATAAGCCTTCGTGGCTACTGAGGTTCCCGAAGCCTAGCCCCACTGACTTTGTGTCAGATGCAGCCTTCTGGGGTTGAGGAAATTTAACAAGATGTTAGAAAGAACAAGGATTGAAATTGGCAATAATATAGTAATGGGGCAGAATAATATAGTATGTGAGGCAGAAATATCTCCTTAGATAAAACGTTCACCTTGTATAATTCATGCCGTATCAGTCACCAGGGCTCTAAATGAGGGTTGCAGATCCCGTAAGGGATCAGACAATGGATCCAGGCCTGAAAACAGCCCTTTATGTAGAGGAATTGAGCTGGATTACCTGGCAATCCCTGCAGAGCCTCTGTGCCTGCTGTTTTTGAAGAGCAGGTTAAAAAAAGCATCTGTCAAGAATGATCTAATTGAAGCTGACCTTGACCTATGTTTCTAGCTTGATAGTTCTGCTCTGCTTATGTTAATTGTAACTGAACAAGTGTGAATAAAATTATAGAATAAATACCTTGCACAAAGAAAAGCAGGAAGGGATTTTTGTCTCCTTGTATATCCTGATTTTTTTTTTTTGTTACACAGCACCAATCACCATAACAACATAGCGTACTGATGCCCCATATGACAGCAGACAGTTTAACAAAGTAACCCCCCCCTTAAGGAGGAATCTTACCTAATTTCACTTTGCCTTTCTGCTTCTGTGTTCATCTTGGTTTGTTTTTCACAGCACTCTTTTTCTTATGGGACCAATGAAACAATTGAAAAGGATGTTTGAGCCTACACGTTTGATTGCTACTACTGTTATGCTGGTAAGTATGAAAGAAATCGGTTTTAACTGGTGCTAATCTGTAAACAATTTCCATTGTAAAATCCTTTCATATACATGATCTAACTACATCTCAAGATGTGTTTGTGGGTGTTTTTTTGGTTTTGTTTTGATTTGTTTGGTTTTTTTTTTCTTAAAACATCAAACATCCTGCACATCTGCTATAGTGGAAAGGAATGTGTAGCACCAGAAAACCACCTTCCTATTATGAAAGACTGAGCTGAAGCCAAGTTGTTACACTGAACAAGCACTAAGGGTCCGTGGCTGGCATATGTGTGAACCATGCACATGCTTTTTAGAGTGCTTGAGGTCACAACATCATGTTTTCATGTAGCTTAAAAGATGAAAGACGGGAAACTAGTTTTTTAAAAGTTGTACTATACAGTTGTTAGACATTCTGTTTTGCATAACTTTGTCTTTCTATATTCTATCCAATGTGCTTTAAAGAGCTGTGTTGGTACTTCTACCTTGATAAAATCATAATTTCCTGACAGAGCACCTGGAGAATCTCTATGCCTTGGTCACCTTGCATTAAAAATACAGAAATCATCCTGTATCTTCAGATTTTGAAATTTATATGACACAATGAGATTGCAAATTCGACATTCAACTGAAGTTAGCCCTTGGAATTATTTTTGCCTTCAGAAGATGGGAATTCTAGCCAACCTTCTACTGGGGGTGTGTGGGAAAATTGCTGCTAAGTTTCAGACTCTTCCTTGTTTTTCAAGTGCAGGTGGTTTTTTTGTCTTTTCAACTTTCCCGTTTTCTTTTGGAGAGTCTAAAATCTGGAAGGTGGTTTAACTTACCTGAAACTGTCCTCCCACTTTCAGTATGATTGTCTTCAGAACGTTTGCTTTGCATCAGCGCTTCCTATTTTCTCTTTAAACATCCAGAGAGTCTGCAGGCAAACTGATAGAGTTTGAGAAATTGTCTGTGTATGCTCATAGATCCTCAGCAGGCAAGAAGCCTACTGTGTGGTGTGTGTGTTTGTATGCTTCTAGGATGCCTGGAGTCAGGAGAATGCCTGGAATGTTGTTCACTGGAATAAAGCCAGTCGTCAGATGTACGATGTAGTATTTAGAGCAATATACAAATCACCACCCTAAATGTAGTTTTTCCATTAGTTTTAATGTCAGTAATCATTGTTGAGGTGAAGTGTATGATTTCTTTGGCAATGCATGTGTTACTGTCTTGAATATGCAGTACTAAATTTCTCTTTTTTTTTTTTTTTTTTCTTACTCAAACAGAAAAGTGCACATTATAATCTCTAGTAGCACAATGGTACATGTGTATCAAAAGGCTGTTGGATGTTGATGAAAGAAGATCAAATATCAGCATCTGTCATAGCTAAATGAGCTGTTGTGTCTAAAATTGAAAATGAAAACTTGAACTAAATGGAGACTCCTCTGAAAACCGAGGGTTAAAACAGAGAATAATCCAAAATAGCCTACTACTCCCTGAGATTTTAACTGTAGTAAAGACCCAGTGCAATTCAGAAAAAAAGAAAAAGTGCTGGTTTGTATGTGCTGGGCTTTATATTAAACAGGAGAGCTACTAAGCAATAGCTGAAAGTTCTTGAAAGTGTATTGTAGTTTTCATTGGTAAGAACTAAGTAGTGACATAACTTCAACCCCATGGTAACCTTGATAATCAGCAGGAAACATGGCATGTACAGAAGCAGAAAGACGAGTTGTAACTGAAAAGTCTTATGCAAAGTGTTGAAGCGTGGTCTATACCTATGACACCAAGTGTGTGGGAGGAAGTAGGAACCTGCTGATATTGCAAAAGAGCTGTAGGAACCTTTTCCTCTTGTTCCTTTCCAGACATAACATCATTTTCTGGAGATATCAGGCTGATACTTTCTCACTGCTTTAATTCACTTCAGAAATGTAATAGCAAGAGCATTTTAAATAAGTGGAACTCAGATGCAGGATTGGATAAAACTATGAAATGATGTAATCTGTTTCTCTCTCTGAGAAGGAACCCATTATGGTGTTACAATATCTATAAAAGCTGGAGTTGCTTCTATGGTTAATAGACATTGTTTGTTTTCTTCTAGTTGTGTCTCATACTGACACTGTGTTCTGCTTTCTGGGTGAGTACTTGAGCCCTATATGTATACATAGCTGGAGTATGTTTTAAAAATAAGATTCTTACACTGTTGTCTCTGCTGTGTTTCTTCCCCCCTCCCCCTTTCTCCTTCAGTGGCGTAAGGAAGGACTCGCGCTCCTTTTCTGCATTTTACAGTTCTTTGCTTTGGCGTGGTAAGTGATTTCCTCCACACACACCCCATTTTCTGTTGTGCCTAACATCGGTAGCTGAATAGTGAGTGGATTTCGACCTTGCAAGGGTTAGAGGGAAGGAGAATTTTTACCTCACCATTCCCCTAGATGTAAGACAATGCACGAGGAGCTGACTTGTTCCCCACTTCTTGTTTTCTCACACCCCTTCAGAGGCTTTGGAGATGGAGCTCGGGGCTCCATTTCTGGGGGAAGTTGCTTTGAACAGGTTTAATTCCTGTGAGCTTAAAGTAAAACTGCTTTTTTTTTTTTTTTTCTTTCCATTTTAAATCTGGTTGTGGCTTACTATCTGGCATTCCTCTTTTACACTCTCCTGAGTTTGTCTTGTTAAAAGACCCAGATATGCCAATCAAATTAAGTGTCAGCATTCTTTTAAGTGTAATGTCACAGAAGTAAGTACAGAAACTGATACGACCATCTAGCCAGCCCTCAAGACTAATCTCACCTGCCTGTAGGCATTGGAACGTGAAGAATATTGGTGCAGGAGAACGGTGTTTAAAATGCTTCTACACTAGGGCGCCTTATTTTTGCCATGGTGTTTCACAACCTGGCTGGGCTAAGATGACTTACAGGGGTACTCGTTCCTGTTGCTTACAAACTTAAAGCTTCATTTTGGTTGCGTATCTTGCAGTTACCTGTCTAGAGCATCAGAGGGGTGGTTGTTCTTGTTTGGCTGTATTGAAATCTGATGTGAAGAGTAACTTTAAAAATCTTTCTTCGTAGGTACAGCATTTCCTTCATACCATTTGCAAGGTAAGTTTCCCTGCTGCCTTACTTTTTGTCATCTTGAAGTTTAATGATGCAGAAGATTAGTTTATAGAAGTATTGTAATATATGGCTTTCAAAGTTTTTCCATGGTGGCGTTTTAGGGGAAGGAAATATATCTAGTGAAACCTGAAAATGAAACTAAGCACCTTCTCTAGTGGCAGAACACAAATGGAACAAAATGAGGGCTTCCTATACAAATATGTAAGTGTGCTGACCACACGCTAAACTTAAGGCTTGCCTTTGGATGCCTTCACGTTGGTCCAAAACGCTACCAGACAGGCGTATTCTTCTGTGTCCCCTTTTCTCCTATTCTCCCCCATGAACGCCGTTCAGTGTTTGAGCACACAGTTCTCTATCCTGCTCGGTCAGCCACCCCCTCAGCGCAGGTTTGCGGGTGTCAGTTCCACTGCAGCTGGGCGGGTGGGACGGCGAGCAGACCCACTCGTTGCTGACGCGTTCGTGTAGTCATGCAAATCACGTAAGTGCAGTTAATACATGATCTTTAAAGTCTTTCGGTGTCAGTGTGATAGCGGCATGGAATGAGTCACATCAAGCAGCATAACTGAGGTCACTTTCTGGTTTCTGTTTTGTTTTGGGTTTTTTGTGATTTGTTTTTGTTTTGTTTTGTTTTTCTTTCTCCCGCTTGTAGGGATGCTGTGAAGAAATGTGTTTCAGTCTGTCTGTCCTAACAGAAATACTGGATGCTTCAAGAAGTTCTAGGAAGTACAGTAGAACTATATTAAGATCACTGTGTATGTATTTTCCTACTTATGTCTTAAACACGTGCCTTCCAGCTTGTTGTTAGAAGCCCCTTGTGTTAAATCCAGTGTGTGCAGTTGCTTGGTTTTGTAAGCAATGGTGTCTGTGGGACAGGGTGCTCATGATCAAACGAAGTCCCGTCTGGCAGAAGAACTGGGCACAGATCCAGAATATATGATAATTCTTATGTGAAATCATATATTTCTTTGGTTTTTCAAAAGTAACAAAGTAATATGTGAAGTCTGTAAAATGGAGACTTTGACTCTGATGGGACTATGCCAGTCTAAAGGATTTTTTTTTTTTTTTCCAAGAAAAATAAGTTAGTTGCCAACTGATTTCTTACTGACAACTTGGGGTTTTTTTAAATAGCCTTATGTCACTTAATCTTTGCAGTGTTGCCTTTGATAATGGAAAACTGGTATTCTTTATTTTCCTGCCTCTCCGGCAAAATTTTAGGTTTATGAGACTTCCAAGAGATTTAATTCTAAATGAAAAGACTGATTTGGAGTAAGTATGAAATGTTTGCATCCTTAATGAAGCACTTAATTTTCAGTTTAGACTGGTGTTTCTTTAAAATACATGAAAGGAGTATTTTCATCTCTAAAAACTTGTTCCCATAGAAGAAGCACTTGCAAAATAAGGTTAATAGCATTTTTCAGCTGCCAGGAACCTGAGTTCTTTGCCTTGCCGACAGCTAATGGCAATGCATACAAGGTAGGAAGCTGAAATTTTTCACATGAAGCAAGGTGCTTCTCCCCCAGCTGTAGCATGGGAGCAGTGTGAAGCTGAGGGCATGATAGGTAAGCAAAGAGAGAATTTATGTATGTCCTTTCTCAGAGGACAGACCGTTGATAAGGTAGAAGCGAGCTATTGTTTAAGCAGTCTGAGCTGGGGAAAAGATATTTTCCTCTGGACTTGTAAATAAGTTAAAACTCCTAGATTTCTTTCTTTCTTGTTTCTCCTAAAGCTCTCGCATACGCTAGTGAACTTCTGCTTTGAGAAGAGAGTACAATTTTCTGTTGCCTGTCTTGGCAAAGAAGGCGTTTAACAATCTAGCTGCCAGCTCCAGACAAATTCTGAACAGTCGGTATCCAAATTCCAAGGCCACTCTACATTCTCTTTATCTTCTGAGCTATGTATAGTCATTTACTCCCAAACCGTTGCAGTGGTCAGTTGTTTAATATCTGAGCACAGATTCCCGCTTCTGCCGTGTGAGGTACTGTTTAACTGCTTTCACTGTTCCGCTGGAGTCAGTGTCTGTGAAGGTGAATATCCAGTGGACTTTAGTATGAACTCTGAAGCCTCTCTTCCTCCATCTAACAAAGAGTTTAGTCATTTAACAGCACTGTGTTTGCATGGCAAGTGATTCCCTGACTGTACCGTGCAGATTCTAGTGTAGAAAAAACTTAGATCTACTTGTCAGTAAAGCCCACAGTGAAGCCAAATAATTCTACAGCTTCCAGAAAGTTACTAGAAACTGAGTTAATTCAGAAGGACACTTATGTTTAAGATTTTGATAATTTATAAAGCACAGTACCATCCTGCTGTTAGGATCCTGTGAAAAGAATGCCCATTTGAGGAGAGTATGAAAGGGAAATGTTAACATTCTTTCTGTAGATTCCAGCTGGCTAGTTACTGTTACAAAGGCATTTGAGTGGAAAATGCCACCTTGAAAACATGGCACTGATGTTGGGAAGAATCTGTTCTACAGGATGATGTACAAGTGCTATCCCCCACCTAGGATTTGGAAGTTAGTGTTGAAATAAGTAGCTTGACTATTACTTTTCTTGAAATGAAGAATTAGGTACGTGCCCAAGAGAGACTGGGAATTAAAGAATACTGCTATTTCTTTTCCCTGACTGGCCTAAGGCAGGTATTTAAACTGATGTGTGTCTTTTATCAGGGAGTAGGTTCAAAGCCTAATTTACATCTGTCGAAGGACCTGTGTTAGTCTTTTATTAGTACTTTGATAATGTTTACAAAATTTCTTTGTATAAGGGCAACTGAAATGCAGCCCTAATGCCTTTTACATTCCAATATTTCTTTAGTTTTAACATCTCTGGGTGTTCCTGGAAAACACTGCAAGTATAGCATACGTTATTTCTCCTTTCCCTCTCCAGGAAAGTTATGTTAACTCAGATCATCATTTCAGGCTCATCAGCAGTCACCATAATGGCATTTGACTTCTAGGGTTCTTTTTTTGAATGTTTCAGATTAGAAGGAGTAAAAGCCTTTTGCTTTTTCCTTGACTAGCTTGTGCAGGACTGTGGTACCCTGACTCTCAAGCAGTTCCTCTAAAAGAACACTAGAATTGGGTATTCTGAACATTATTTTTTCAACTTGCATACTAGCTAACTGGAGCTTTTTAGCTGACTGTTGTGAGCCCAACCACTTAAAAGTAGGAAATTAGGAAATTACTAGCAGGTAGCAGGTAAATTTAAAGGCATTTTTTTTTTTTCTTTCCTCCCACCCCATCCTTTTTAAAACTGTAGTTCCAGTTCCACAGCCTCTTACTCAATGAGAGAAGAACAAATCTTAATTTGACTGCATAGCACATAAGGCTAAGCAATTGTGCCCTTAAGGGGGGGAATCAAAGGAGAGATAGCAAAGACATAATCATCACCAGAGTGCCTCTAAGGTTTATGTTGCCCTTTGGTGTTGTATTTTGTTCCTGTGGAGGTCGGACAGTAGGAGAGACTCACCGTATTCTTGCCAATATGTGAAACATACTCAGGGTTTGTCACTTCATCTAGAAGCAGTTTTGCTTTAAAATAACTCTTCCCTATCAGAACAAAACTCTTCGGATTCTTACTCACAAGTAGTTGCATTCAGGCCAAGTTTAGCAGCAAAACACTTTTCCACTGTGTGAAAATACTTTATTTTATATGACTTTACATAATCGGGGAGTAAACTAGTATATGAATGATTCCACTTGACCAGTTTCAATCTGAATTAATTATGCCATTATACCATTTTTTTTGCCATTAGAACTACTTCGTGTTAAGTTTTGATATCATCAGCTTTGGTTATTCGCTTGGCAAGAAGCGTGGTGGGCATTTCTGAAGCCCTCTCTAGCTTTCTATCTTAATGTCCTTCAAGGCAGGAGTGTTTGTGGTGTGCGCTACTGCAAATAGAGATATTTGTGTTTTAAATCACAAAGCTCCTTCCTTCCCAAAGTCCTTGCTCAGTTGCCTACAGCACTTAAGGCTGACTTGCCCAAAGAAACTTGGATGATGTTGGGCATCCATCTCGGTAGGATTTGGTGTCCTACCAGAAGGTGCTTTTTGCCCAGCCTCACTGTTGGTCAGCTTGCCTATCCGCTTTCACTTTTTGCAGTACAGATAACATAACCTTAAGCAAGCAGCCTCAGCGTACAGTTCTAGCATGAAATGTGCACATCTGAGATCAACTGACTTTCCAGATATAATAGAAATGGGAAGGGGGAGGGTGGTAGTCATCTGATCCCAAAATACTGCAATTCTATGAATTAAAACGTGGGATTTTTTTTTTCAAAGTTTTGCTCAGTTTTATGTGAATACTGGTACTGAGCGAATACCGTTTTGAATACTGGTACTGAGATGGTTCTACAGTGATGATGTGAACAATTCTGTCTTGTTTGGTATTTACAGTAATAAGATTGTTCATGAGCCGTTACAAAGACCAAGGAAGAAATTTCTGCACCGAGTTGAAATTATTTTAAAAAATCAGGTTTTGAAAGAAAGAAGAGGAAAAAAAAAAAAAAAAAGTGTGTTAGGCTTTCCGTGTGGATACTTATTTTGCAAGTTGGGGGGTAGGGCAGGGACTCTGCTGCGGGCTGGCTTCCAGCTAGGTGCAGGATGAGAGGCTGGAATCGATGGCAACCTGCGGGTGGATTGCAGCTGGCGCACCGAGCGCTTGGAGCCTCATGGCACTGTTGCTTACGGGCAGTCTGCTACTCACGGTCTGGTTGCTGCCCTGCGGAGCAGTGTGGGTGTTTGAAGCTCATCCCCTTCTGCTGCGTGCGAAGAGATTGAAAGAGCCTCTGAGTTTGAGAACAGTTCTTGCTTAGTTTCGGCACTTAATCTTATTAACGAGAGTAAGATCGCTGTTGCTGTTGTAGACTCTCAAAGCTGAGGAGGATGACGATGCTTAAACACACGTTTGTCTTAAATACTGATGTTTACAACTATAGCAAATACTGACCACGTAGGACAGAAAGCACAGAAATGGCATATTTTCTTAAAACCACGTGCCTCACTGTAATATGACAACACTAAATTTTTTGTGACAGCTATGGAATTGTTTTGTAAAATAAAACCCAAACTCTCAGAAATTCTTCACAAAGTTTTATATTGTTACCGATTCTGTTTGCTGTTGTGCTTTTTCTATGTATTTACACTGTTTGATTTCTACTTTGATAAGCATATTTCTTTCCTAACTTCCAACTGTCTCTGTAATGAAGTGAAATCTTGACTTACAAGTGCTGTTTTTTTTCCTTCAATAAAGTTGTTATTGCATTAAATGAATTGCTCTTCTGGTTAATATGGAGTTTTTAATGCTGCTGATTCTCCAGATGATGCTAGAATTGCTGTGGATTGTTTTTTTCAGCTTCTTTGTTTTGTTTTTTAAAGAAGTCATTGTCTTATCCTCACTTCTTTGCTATGTACACAACATCTACTGCTGAGAAGAGTTCCTGCGTCACCACTGCTGTGCAGCTGCTTCACCCAAATTCTTATTGGCATGGTTACATGCACCTAGACAACTGGTTGGCACAACTAGACTTGTTAAGGTGGGGATGATATTTTTATTACTTCTTATTTATTTACTTCAAGAGTCAACAAACTATTGGCTTAGTCCACGCTACAGAGCAAATAATTCCTGATGCTATTCTGTCAGCAAAGATTAGAGTTATGAAGCAACATGCCTCTGGCTTTTCTTTGAGGAATAAGTATGCTCTGAATACTGATGTACACTGGAAATAAAAAGCCAATGATTTATGAATGTGTGTTAAAAGTAAAGTTAGAGGCAATTACTTTAATTTTATGTGGATTTTTTTTAACTTTTGGGAAGCATGTCCTAGAGTTCGTGCCTAATATCCATCCAAACACTTGCTGTGGTTTTAATATTCCTTGGCAGTGTAACAGGGCTGTGCATTGGGCTGTTTAGAATACCTTAAATTTTTTTCTGATAGGGGAAACCAAAGCAGTTGCATTCTTTTACAAGGGTGGTGGTGAGACTTGTATGTTGTGGGAGACTGTGTTAAGTTTTCAGTGGTTTGTTGTTGTTGTTTTGATTGCTCTTTTAAACAAGCTCTGTCTAAAAGCTGACTAAACTGAAATTTCTGTCCTACGGGAAACTCCAAGTTTTGTTTCAAATAGAAGCAGCAGCCTATCTTTCTGTAATATAGAAACCTAGGGGTTTGTATTTTATCTTTTTGAAAAGGTTAGAGCTTCCAAGGACTGTCAAGAGAGCTTGATATATCTGTTTTGTATCAAGACAGCTATGAAGCCGAGTCCTAAAATGGCAATAAATCATTTCCATATTTAATATCTTAGAGCTATTTTGCTTGCCTAGTTCAGCCTTCTGCATAACAACAAAGCTGCTGAACTTTGCCCCATCATTCTCAAACCAAGGTCTTGAATGGCTTGAAAAAATTACAGTAAGTCTTCATTTGAGACATCTAAAGGGTGGACGATCAGCTGGTTGCAGTATCAGTGGGGGTACAGGCTTGTAACTGCCCAGCCATGAAGAGATGGAGATGCCTAAAGGGAACAAAATCCTCTGTTTTCTCACTTTTCTGAAGAAAGCTTCTGATTAATTAGAGATTGAATAGTGTATCTAAGCTGCCAGTCTTTGGGATTGATGTTTTAAGTTAGTCTATTTGAAGCCCTTTTAAGTTTTTCTTGGGTTCCCTTGTGGGATCTCCAAGGGAAGTTACTCCTGAGAGTTTGTGCTTTAAAATCTCTGCAGAAGCAAGTGTGGAATAAATTGGCATAGCAGAAAAATGGTACCTTGAAAGTATTGGCTGGCCAACATGATTCAATTGCAGCTCTGACTGACTGTCACTTCCAAATATGCGGAGTGAAAACAAATTATTTTATCATGGGCATGTACTCCTGTGTTTTCTAGTTGTGTGTAACAGGGTGTGTCAGGCTCACCACTTTTGAGAGAATCAAATGCTTCAACTGAGTTATACTTGAAAAGTGTTAACTATGGGAGCTAACAAAAAGCTTTAACTTAGACATCCAAGTTAAAAGTGCATGTTTGATTTCCCTAATATAAACACTGAGCCTATTTTGTTCTGAGATGTTGTAAAGAGAATTTAAAAGTTTGTTTAAAGTCTCTTAAATTCTTAATTGATATTATTTTCTGATCTTAAAGATGGGGACGGTAATAGTTTCTTGCTCTAGGTGCTAATCCATGTCTGGAGACAGCACTGAAGATCTTTAAGTAGGAAAAACAAATTAGGGAAGAGTATAATTATTGTTTAAAACAAACTTATTCATCACCAGCCTGACTACATCAGGATTTTTTTTTTTTCTTTTTTTTTTTAAAAGAAGAAAGGTTGTTCTGGAAAGCCTCCCATGTTTTCTGGACTCAGAATTAATCTCGGTTATAATCTCAATTATAACACCAGGCAGGGAGGTACTACTTGAACAAAGTGCCGGCCTCACTGCTAAAAACATACCTGGTGGAAGTTATTGAGACTGTCCCCTCACCCCCTGACATTAATGAAAATGCTAATCTTCTCTAAGTCTCTCCTAACCTAGCAATCTCTTAGGGGGCTGGATCTGTGATTAAAAAACAGAGGGAAAGCAGCTGTCTTTTTATCCTCTCTTAATTATTCCTTGGTAGTTGATAGGTGTTGATTTCCTGGGAGTGTCATGGTGATGGAGGTTACGTTTCCCTGTGTTGTTGGGACTCAATGTTCAGAGGGGGGTTAGTAGTTCCAATGTTTCAGTGGGAGCTTTGGAGATGGAAAGAGTGAGTCTTGTTCTCAGCGATTTCATCTGATCACGAAGGGCTGCCTTTTATCTGGAAACATGCACCTAAAGGCCAAAAAACAGCTATCCGATGTCAAGGCAAGGAAGGCCTCTTTAATTAACTTTTTTCTTTGTTTTCTTTCTGCTGTATCTCACCAGCTGGTGGCCAGGAGGGTTTTAGAACAAGTTTAATTAGAAAGTCAAAAACAACACCTTGCTTTGTCCTGCTGTAACTTGGTGAATAAACTCCAGTAAGTGTTGCAGGATTGTTCTTTAATTCCTCTCCCCAGCCCACCTTGCTTCATTTAAAAACATGAGTCACTAAATTCTTACTAGTAAATCCTGGACATGGCTGGAGGTTATTATGAGTGTTGTACTTGCATTTTTAACTAGCCGGAGTTAGTTCTGACTGGCTATGAGCCATGAGGTGTCTGATCCCTGCTTGGAAGCGCCCAGCTCTCCCACTTGGATTTCAGGGAAAGTTTACAACATTTCAGTTTTTGTATGAGCATTTCTTGCTCCCTCTGATGCCTCTCCTGATTTGCTTGTTTAATTAAATGGGGGACAAGTGCGAGAGGGTTAATAGTGTCCTGTCCTGCGGCCCTGCTCTGTCTCACTTGCAGTGGCAGTGACTGTCAGTCACCTTGTTACTATGTTAGTCTGAAAGTGCAGCTACCTTTCCTTCCAATGTCAGGTTCAGGAAGATTTAACTTCCAGCCCAAGAAACCCACCTGCCATCTGGGAATGGCTTATTCTCAAGTGCCATGATAATACCTACGTCCAGTGATATTAGTCTGTTTGTGCCTCAGTTTCAGCATCTGTAGACCTGAGAATGGATGTTTGGGAAGTATTCAAAGCTCTTATTAAGGTGAGCAGAGAGACATAAGACTAGAGGATGTCTCTTCTCCTAAAACAGGCTAAATATTCAAAGTAAAGATTTCCACCCTTAATATATATATATATATTTTTTTTTTTTAATTAAAAGCCAACAATAAGCAAAAATTTGACTGTGAATCTTATCTATTTGGTTTCTCTTCTGCAGCTGTGTGAAGCAGAGACGACGTACAACATGAGGAGGCCTGATGTGGTGTGTGGTGGGATTGATTCATATGGGTCTGGATGTGTATTTTAAAGTAAAATCTCAGGCCCAAGCACATTCAGCTGATCATCTGCTTGCATGCATGCAGACTTCTTGGGCTAATTCTTCTAGATTGGAAAGATATGTCAGTGGTGAGCTGTGCCTTCTGGATAGGTTGCTACATACATCACAAATTCTTCTTAGTGTGAAGTCTTACAGCTGAGGCACGCTTCCCCACGCTGAAAATAGCAATTGGGCTATTCCCACTAGCCAACCACAGGTAATTACTCTAATTTTGGAAAATGTTGTGATTGCAGGCATCCTGAGTGATGGTAACATAGTCATAAAATTAAAATTCAAACCGTATGGAAGTCAGGTATTTTAAGAGATTAGATTTGTGGGGGGGGGTTTCCCCTCTGGGACACAAGAATTTCAAACATCATGTACCTCGTGTGAGTGATAACTGTAAGCACCCAAGTGTAACTCTTAGTATCTGAAAGTGCATTTTATTATTGTGCAGGATGCAAATTTTAGTGGGATACTCCAAAGCAAATGCCTTTGTGCTTCTCCCTTAGGGACACTAGCGGTAAAAAAAAAAATCTAGTCTTATTGATGAAGAACTTGCTTCCCAGCCCATTACTGGAATGGGTCCCTTACCCGTTCCTTCCATATATCCTTCCTTCTCCTCAGCTCTGTCCCAGGAATGATGTGGGCAAGCAATGCACTCAGGGCAGGACCTCCTTTTCTTTTGCTTTGTAGCTGCCTCCATTTCCAATCCATCTTGCTGAGCACTTTCTGTGCCTCTAGCAATTCACCAGTGTCTGTTGATGAGGCAGCGTTTCACTTCCTCCAACGTGAACCCCTTCCACCAACGTGAACTGTCGTTGCTTTTGTGCATGCTTCTGATTCCCTTTAAGCTCTAGGCATGTTGAGGAAGGCACATCGGATTTGATCTGGTATTACTCCACTTGAAGCCCTGTGGGAGAGATGGGCCGGGCAGTCAGTACTCCTGAACACCAAGCTGCTTCCCTTTCTAGCTGTCTATAGAAGGAACTGTGGGTAACTACTGAAATAATAGTAGTTTTATGAACTCTTGTCTCTTTACTTGCCTCAACTTTAAAGCTCCTGATTTCTGAGAAACTAATTAAAATAACCCAAAAAACTATGTGGTAATAGAACTTTGTCTTAAAAAAAAAATCCCAAAGCAACACAGATGTATTTGTTTTGGAGATGTCTGAAAAACTGAAGTTATTGAACTGAAATACACCAGATCTGATTTCTGTGTTTATTTACATTTATAATAAAACTAAAACCTGTCTAATATAATCCCCTATACATTTGCTATGCCCTTTGATCATATGCAAGGAAAAATTACAGTAGTATCTTCTCTCTCCTCTTTGAGCATTTGGAAAGGAGAACCCAAACACGAGCCTATTCCATGTTACACAGACATACTACCTGAGAT